CCAAAGATCCATTCTATATTTATCAATTGCAGATATTTACAAATCTGCCCTGGTTAATGAGTTATTAACAAGTTTTTCGGAGGTTACTTCGAAAAGAGGCTATATCGTGTCGTATGTCATATTCTAGAAATTCGGCTAAACGGAGTGGAATGGGTGGATGCGTATGGGATGTAAGTAGGAGGAGAGTAGCATTGTATAAAGGAATTATCTATACAAAGTGTCAATGAATTAATTATTTTAATAAATTACTAAATCGATATTTACGTAGACAATAAAATAGAAAATTATAATACAGTGTTGATAAAACAGCATTTATATTCGCTACTACATACGTACATGTGTTTCGAAGCACGTGGATAAATCAAAAAGCTAACCTCTATTTGTAATTATATATACTTTATATATATATGTACTTTATATATACGTTAATCAATCATGGGAAGGAAACGGTTCAATTGGAAAGCAAGACATAGCGGGGAAGTTGAAATTGACAACTCTGATACGAAGAAGGTATTTTCAATGCAGTATAATTTTTTTGCAAGACTATTTTGTATAGAAAATAGAGATCAATTGTATATATATTAAATTTTCATTTTATATAGATTACTTTGGATATTGAACACCGGAAAGATAATTATGATAATTGTAACACGTTAGTTCTTCCGAACGAGAAGAGGAAAACGAAGAATAAAGTTAAAAAAGTTACTGTCACACGATTATTATCCAAAAAGCGTAGAAAACAATTGGAAAATGTTATTGAGAAGAAAAAGAAGAAGTTACAAGTACGTTGTTCTATGTACAGAACACAGTTTTATTTGTGTTGTTGATTCATGTAAATTTTGTTTGTAAACAGAGAGCTACACTTTTAGAAGAATTAGCAAAAGTTCAAGCAACGCCACAAGAATTACAGCAATATGTATCATTAACATCTGTCCAAACCAAAGGCTTGAAACGCCATTTTAGAGAAGTAGATTTATCTATAAAGGAATGTAATGATAAAATAAATAATGATTGTAAAAACGAAGACGAAGAAATGCCAATAAATTCCATTAAAGGTGGAAAGAAAAGGAGATTGGCTATTTTAGTAGATGAGAGAAAAATGGACGATACTGTATCTCATCCAAATGTTGTTGGATTCGATGTAAGTTAATAATTAGTCTTTATTGTCCAGGACATTAATGAGTATACATTATAGGAATCCAGTGATAGCGAATCCAGTAATGAAGATGATAAGCCTGAACAGGAAGAAAATACTGTGAAAAATAATCGAATAGAAGTTGGAAATGGCAATGCAAAGGAAAATCTTGAGAAAAATGTGCCAGAGATTATCCACAAAGAAAAAGAAACAACCAAAAAATTACAAACACCGGTAGAAAAGAAGCCTGCAGTTTTTATAATGTTACAAAGAAAGCCAGAAATTCAGGCAGCTCGACTAAAATTACCAGTGGTAGCAGAGGAACAAGTTATCGTGGAAGCAATTAATGAGAATCCCGTTGTAATAATTACTGGTGAAACAGGAAGCGGTAAAACCACCCAAGTACCTCAATTTCTTTACGAAGCTGGGTATGCTCGAGACAAGATAATTGGAGTCACCGAACCCAGAAGGGTAGCTGCTATGTCCATGAGCAAACGTGTGGCCGAGGAAATGAATCTCACGCAGAAAGAGGTTTCTTATTTAATTCGTTTCGAGGGAAATGTCGGGCCAGAGACAAAAATCAAATTTATGACGGATGGTGTTCTACTCAAAGAACTACAAACTGTATGTAATAATTTCACGATTAGTTTATCATAATAAGAAAACATTTAACAGTTATCAATCTTGTAGGATTTTCTGTTAACGAAATATTCTGTGATTATTTTGGACGAAGCGCATGAACGGAGCGTGTACACTGATATCTTAATAGGTTTATTGTCACGAATAGTACCGCTACGGAACAAGAGGAACAATCCTTTGAAGCTGGTGGTAATGTCAGCCACTTTGAGGGTGGAAGAGTTTGTAGAGAATAAAAGATTATTTAAGGTGAAACCACCGGTATTAACGGTGGAGTCTAGACAGTTTCCAGTTACAGTACACTTCAATCGCAGAACTAGCTCCAATTATGTCACCGATGCACTGCGAAAGGCGATAAAGATTCATACTCGTTTACCAGATGGTGGTATTTTATTATTTCTAACAGGTGTGTATGCCTCATAATAATTGTTACCTGCACCATTTGACAAATGCATTTATGCTTCAGGTCAACAAGAAGTTAATCTCATTGTTCGCAAATTACGTAAAGCTTTCCCTGTAACGAGCAAGAGGAAATTTAACAAGGTGTTAAAGAAGAAAACTGCACAAGATGGAGAAGACATCAAAGAGCAAGAAGTTCAAAACAAGAGCGATGATAACGAAGACTCGGAAGATGAGTTTCCTTCGAAGGAGGCTTTACGTTATAACAAATTGAAACAGAAAAAGCAAATTCAATTGCCAAATATTAATCTGGACGAGTATGCAGACATATATAATTTTATATTAATTCCAACTTATAGTTATATTCTATGTATTTAATTTTCAGTTACGATGTAATTCCTACCGACGATACACACGAGGATTTAATCGGAGCAGAAAATGACGACGAAATATATTTAGACGAGGATGAAGATGAGGATGAGAACGATGATGTTATTGATCTAAATATTTGTTCGAATGCACAGCCATTGTGGGTACTGCCTCTTTACTCTTTGTTGCCAAGTCATAAGCAAGCCAGGGTAATTCCATAATTCATGTTCTCATGATCTCCAATTTTAATTAGATAAAATTAAAACGTGTTCTTTGTTTCTAGGTATTCGAACCTCCCCCGGAAGGCTATCGTTTATGCGTGGTAGCCACAAATATAGCAGAGACTTCTTTGACTATTCCCAATGTCAAGTATGTTATAGACTGTGGGCGCTGTAAAACAAGACTGTACGACAAGGTAACAGGTGTAAGCACCTACAGAATCTGTTATACTAGCAAGGCATCGGCGAATCAACGAGCAGGAAGAGCTGGTAGAACTGGTCCTGGTCACTGCTATAGATTATATTCTTCGGCGGTGTTCAACAATCAATTTGAGCAGTTCAGTCAATCGGAAATTCAACGGAAGCCAGTGGATGATCTGATGCTACAAATGAAAGTGATGAACATCGACAAAGTTGTGAATTTCCCATTTCCAACTCCACCAGATATCGTACAGCTGCAAACAGCTGAAACAAGGTTGTCGATCCTTGGCGCATTGTACCAGCCTTTACCTGACAAAGAAAATTCCTATAGCGCAAAAGTTACACCCCTTGGTCGCAGTATCGCCGCATTTCCGGTTGCTCCTCGTTTTGGAAAGATGTTGACCCTATCCCATCAGCATGATCTCTTGAAGTACACTGTCTGCATGGTTGCTGCGTTTTCGGTTCAAGAAGTATTGGTGGAGGCCCTCGGTTCCGATGGTGGTGCAAAAACGAAGTGGCTGCAAATGAGACGTCATTGGGCTGGAGCAGGAAACAGTTTACTTCTTGGTAAATTAATTCGATACATTTAATAAAGATAAACCAGAAACTGTCACCTATTCATACAAATATACGTATTTTTAATGCAGGCGATGCAATGGTTCTGATAAGAGCAGTAGGAGCAGCTGAATACGCTGGAATTAAAGGTAAACTTCTTGAATTTTGCGAGGAGCATGGTTTAAGGCACAAAGCAGTGGTAGAGATCAGGAAGCTTCGGCAGCAGCTCACAAATGAGATCAACTTGAATATACAGGATCTTAATCTAACGATCGATCCAAAAATGAAACCGCCAAGCGATACCGAAGTCAAGTTGCTCAGGCAAATCATTTTGGCTGGAATGGCTGACCAGGTCGCGAAGAAGGTGATGCCGGATGAGGTCAATGAAGATCAGGACAAGGCTAAATGGAAATACGCTTACAAAACCTTGGACATGGAGGACCCAGTGTTCATGCTCTCATCTTGCGTTCTTCGCAAGACGTGTCCTGAATGGGTAGTTTACCAGGAGATATACGAGACCAATAAAATCTACATGCGTGGCATCACAGCCATAGAACCAGAATGGCTACCAAAATTCGCTCCTTCCCTTTGTCAACTTGGAGAACCCTTGACCGATCCACAACCATGGTACGATACAGAAACTGGAAAAGTTATGTGCAGTATCACTGGAACTGTAGGAAGGGCTGGATGGAAACTACCAACGATGGACATGGAACATCCGTTGACCATAGAAGGAGTGAAGCGGTTCGCTTCTTTCTTTTTGGAAGGAAAAGTCTGTCCAAAACTGAAACGATTCGTCCCTTCGTTACTTTCGACACCGCAAAGTATTAACAAATCGTGGGCGAAATTGGTGCCGCGAACACAGGAAATGTCTCAACTACTGCTGTCCCATGCGATCATGTCGGAAGAAAAATTACTCGAGATGTGGAAGAACGATAAGACTTGTAAGTATATACTTTATAGACAAAACTGCGAGATAATTCTATGACCAAAAGAAATTCTTATTAATTTCAGTTCTTTTGTCCACCTATCAGAAGTGGTTACCGGAATCTGCGCATGGAGATGTCGCGGCAATTTGGCCACCTATATAATCATTTTTATACATAAATTACCAATGTATACGATTTGTATACACAGGGTGAGTCAATAAGAATTTCCACTGCAGTGTCATAAAATAGACACTCAAGTTTTTATCGAGTTACCCTGCATTTATATATTCCTGAATTTTGTAATATATGAAAATTTAATACGGCACACGATGTGCAGCAAAGCCTTACAAAAACGTACAATTCAATAATCGTTTATTTTCAATGAAAATCACAAGGAGTTATTAGACGAGTTTGTATATATAACGTGTAATTAAAAGCGAGTTTGTATATAAGCGACAAAGACGAGTTTGTATATATATATGTAACGTGTAATTAAAAGCTATACGTTATTTTGAACAAATAGAACGTGAAACATTTTTCCACATACACGAATCATACTGAACGTGTGGCACTTTCATAGCATCTTCGTAATTATACTAATGTCCCATTCTTTACTAATAGAATACAGCAGTGCATGAAATGCGACGATGATAAAACATACAATGAAATATGTACAGATATTCGTATCCTTGTTTAAATTAAAATTTGCACGAGACATTGGTAAACTAAATCTGTCTGTTCTACACAGTAGAAGTTAACCAGATCCTAAGTTTGTAAATCAACTATGAAGTCGGTAACATATGTTAACAAGTATCTAGAGACTTTGATCCGATCACTCTGCCTTTACCGACTTTCTGTCTTTTTTCTTCAACGGATTGTTCTTACAATGGTAATGAAGATTGTTTAGATCGAATGCTGCCTTTATGTTGTCCTGCAAGGTAATGTTTTGTTGTTTAGCGTATAGCAAAATAATGTATTACAAGAAAATGTAATACACGCACCAACGAGAATAGAAATTTAACCAGTTTTCCCTTATGGTCCGCGTATGGGCGTCTATCCGCCTCTCTACCTTCTTTGAATAGAATTAAGGTAGGAAGTTGTTTGCTGGTACTAGCATCGCTAATATGATACTTCGATCCTGCATCAGGGCACCTCCCTAAGTCTACTTTTCCAAATTTCAAATTTGGCAAAACATATCTGAAAGAGGTACAAATAGTTTTGCAGTCTTAATATACCATGGGAATATTAACGTATTAAATGAAATGAACAAACTCTGCAGAAAGTTCAGCGAATATGGGTGCAAAGTTAACACAAGCTGGATTCCATGCAGTATAGAATGCAACCAGCCAAACAACTTTCGTGTCCCGTTGCAATTCTTCTTGCAAACCACTTGTACTGCGCAAGTATATTATTTCTTCTGGGCCTCTGTAAGTTGGTTCAGGAAACACCAAACCGCACACTACAATTACAAATTGATGTAGTGAACTGAATAAGTTGTGCATTACTAAATAAATACGCACAAGTGAATAAAATAGCGAACAGTATTCCCATACGAATGTCAGCATAAAGCCAAAGGATCAAATTGGCAACTTTGGTATATGCAAAGCTGGATGAGAGGTAGTTTATCATGGTCACGCTTCCAGTTTTCCTTGACCTTATCATTATGACAATCATAAGAAAAAATAGGATTTCTGTTTCCCTCTAAAACACAAAGAAACTAGTTATCGATAAGTTATTGAGTGTCATTTTACGAAAGAACGGAAAACTTTCCTTGACTTACCCCATCGAGTTCGCATTCTGCTTGCGCGAACATGTAATGACAAATAAAAGGAATGCGTTTTGAAACGATGTACGAAAGGCTGAGTAGAATGTTTATTAAATAATAGGGCTGCTGTAGACGCTGCAAATCTTTTTTAAAAGCCATCGTAGTGCAACCAGTGTGTTTAGGTTACAGGTCGTGATAAACAGTGATAAACAAACGAGTGCTAATCAGCTAATTGAACAATTCAGTCTCAACTCTCAACTTTCAAACGAAATACTCTACATAACTCTACCTACAGTATGTAGTGCACAAATAAGTGTGTCTAACACTTTTTTGCTCACTGACTGAAGTGAGGTTGAGTGTGAATGAGGTCTGTACAGTTGTGTACAGCGTGCTGTGCAGGTATGTGTCCGCGTCCACTTTGAACTGTTTCCAATCCCCACCACCACCACCAATTCTAGTACATACATCCCATTCGCACCCACCATCTCCACTCCTTCGTTTAGCCGAATTTCTAGAATATGTACATACGACATGATATAGCCGCTTTTCGAAGTAGCCTCCGAAGAAATTGTTAGTAACTCATTAACCAGGACAGATTTGTAAATATTTGCAATTGATAAATATAGAATGGATCTTT